TGGCAAACCTTATCTATCATGGCACGAATCTAGTATTCAAGTTCGTCAATTTTCGCTGATAAACGCGTCTTTTGTTCGTTCAATTCGCTTGACAAAGGTTACTGACGAGGAAAGGTCCCCAAGTGTGCAATCGCGTTTTTATCGAAATTTAGTAGACAATAGATAATCGACTATGCTGAATCCGAATATGACATCCGTTTGGGCTCTTAGACCTCCAGTGACCGGATTTCTAGAAAATCAGTTTTTCAGAAACTCTAAACAATAACAGAAACCTTTCTTAATGAAGCATGATTGTAGCTCACAAATTTCTGATTAAGATGAGACATCTCCCAGCTCTGCATGATCTTTCTTTGCAAAGTTATAGAATTTACAAGAAAAGCCCTCAATTAATTTCTTCTTATTTCTGTTGCTTTGAGCTGACAATGAATAATTTAGGGCTTTTCTTGTAAATTTTATAACTTTGCAAAGAGAGGTCATGCAGAGCTGGCAGATGTCTCATTTTACGCACTTTGCTCTAACCACTTTCTCTAACCCAGTATTTGTACGATGAGTGGGAGTGGTCGAGAGTACAACAAAGTCATTCCTCCTAACATTATTCTCACAAATGCATGAACGCTCTCACTTTTTACTGTTACTCCGGCTGAAATTGGGAAATGTTTAAATCGAGTAAATCCAAATAAAGCAACTAGTCGTGACATTTTATCTAAACTTTTTCTTGAAGCTGGTCTAGTGATAGTAAATGATCTCACTGCTATTTGCAATTTCTCATTGTCTAACTGTAAACTCTATGAAGCAATACTTCCAAAGCACGACATTTTCCAGATTGAACAACCTATTAACTAACGGTGACGCTGAAGATGGACCGTGCTCATATAATCGGGATGAATGGGTGCAATCTTTTGGTTGAACAGTAGCACCGTCAGAATTGAAAACAGTGGTAGCAACGGCGTGTAATGCATTCGGTGGTATTCTCGATATTTCTTCGAACACTTACAGCAATAAATGTTACGTTCAGAATCGACAGATGTTACCGTAATTATGTACCAAAACATTATTGTAGGCTATTTTCCGTTAATTCCTAAGCACCAAGCTGATTTCGAGATTCGTGGTTTTATAAGTATAAGCGGAATAGTGACTATAAAATCGTTTCTAGTGGATGTCAATGGAAAACAGCTGGATTATAAAGTCCTAAGTGAGCAAAGTTTCCGACGTTTGGAAGAAGTTTGATTCAGATGACAAAACTAGGCCTCCAGAAAACGTCCTTTTATAGCTGACAAGAATCAGGTTTCAAATTCATAAATATTCCTAAAACTTATACTAACATTAAGTTCAAATTTTTAACACTGCTGTTTTGTACATGTTCATTTTTTGGACATTCCTGTGTGATACACATATCATGAAACTCATTTCTTAGAGAAAATGGCATATTTTCACTTAAAAGCTGACTGCTGTACTGAGGCTTTTCTAAAAAAGAGGAATCAAGGAGGAATAGCAAAATCTTGCTATTCCGGAGGAACGCTAGCAAAAAAGGAGGTAAATCCTACGCTAGAAACACTAATTTTAACATAATAGATGAGCGCAACAGAATTGGATTATATTTCGACACAAATGGAGTATTCTTGTATCTTTTGGAAAACTTTATTGTAGAAAAATTGAGCGGAAGAAAAGAAAGTACCTGACATGTGTAAGCGAGAATGAATGGAATCTTCCGAATTCGAAATGTGTAAGATATCTATATACAACGAATAGAGCAAGAGAGAATACCTATTAAAAGGACTACTGATGATACGATACTAGATATGGACGAGTTTTCAGTACTGACCCCCTAAATTTTCTAAGAGTTTATATTTAAATATGGAAAAAAGGTAAACTTTTAGCTGCTTTTACGAAATTGTCAAAAAATATTCTTTGCTCCAATCCCAGTTGCGGGAAAAATCTTTCTTAGTCCCAGTCCCGATCCTGCCCATAGCTACACGATAGACAATGACAGAGGGATACAGTTAGTGGAAAAAGAAAAAAATTGTAACACCATTATCTCTTGAAGAAAGAAAGATAGGCAGATTTCTTTTTTACCATTCGATAGCTCTAACTCCTAAGTGTCAGCTTTATTCCTTATTAACTGCAAATTTTTATCTAAAATTCTTCTATCAAAATAATTATAGCTGGCGGATAAAAATTGAGCTTTTAATTAGTTAGTCAAATTTTGCATAAAAAGTTGTTTGGTCTATCTAAAATTTATCAAAAAATAACTTTAAATATAGCATTGGATAGTGCTTGAAAAACTGCATGTATCTGTTATGGTTTAATTGAAATAATACAAGATGAGCTATTTTACGTTTAAAACTAATTGACGGCCGATGAGGTGCACACCATTCTATTCAGCAGACTTTTTCATCTACATTGTGCCAATTAACACAGAAAGAAAAAACAAAAGAGAATAATATTGTTTTATGGTATATACAAACTTGCAGACAAAAGTTCTGTACTTTCATTCCATTTTATTTATTTATACTACCTGAAGAATTTCATAAACAAATTGACTCAACTGTAAAAGAACTTGGTCATCGTTGAACGAATCGATTGAACACTTTACCAGTAAAGTCGTGAGAAAAAGTTCGAAGCAATCTGTAACGTTTTTGAGAGCTTTTGTAGTCAAATTATGATTTACCATAGTTGACCAGCAATGTTCCAAACGTTTCTCTCAGTACTTGATTTTACTTTTACTTTTCTTGTGTGATGTGACAAACAGAGTAAGACAACTGAGAGTTTTTGTAACTGTATCTGGAAGAATTGCAGTTTAATCGATTTATGTTGAATTATGAGGATAGTTCCAGCTCAATTGAACTGATTTATGCGTTCAGCTCATCTATATTCAAATTGTTCGAACAAATAATTTCTCACGAACTGAACTAAAGATGCAGCTCAATTTATACAAATTGCATTCTTCGAAAACAATTTACATTTCATTAAATTTTTTAGTTAGCATCATTGGGTATCTTCGAATGCCACACGTCTTTTTTATGCTTTTTTGTGATATCCTACCTTTGTGTATCAAAGAACATGACGTGTTACGGACGACGAAAAAGACTACTATCCATTCCAAAATACAGTGCCGATGGGGATTTTTCGAATAACTTTTGATAGGAATGAGATAGAGGCCTGCGATTTTCGCTATCCGATAGCCAAGACTTGAGTGGAACTTTTCACAAGCGGAAACAACCTTTGAAAAAATTTCAAAGATCGGGTTTCCAGAGGATCATTTTCGTGAAAAAACAGCTTTTCGCCTGTTACTAGCAAAAATTAAAATCCCTATGTCTCGATCAGATCTCATGCTGACTCGAGGAAATTTTCAGGAAGCGCTGAGAGCAGCTCATAAAGCATAATCGAAGACGAAAAAGGTGAATTTCAGCCGGGCATCGTTTTAAGGTTTTCCAGAAACCTTCTAAAAAATCTCAAACCGTCAGTGTTCTGCTGACGGTGCGATCAACGTGATCAACAATATATGGCACCGTTTAAGGCTTTCCTCAAAGGTTCCTTGACTCAACGTGATATTTGATCGAGATATAGGGATTTTAATTTTTGCTAGTAACAGACGAAAAATCGGTTTTCATAAAAATGCCTCGGGCGGAGTTACATTCATTTCTACATAAAAACAAATGTTGCCACTATGCTCAGCGTAGTCGATTGCCTATATTCCATGGCATTTCGAGATTCTCAGAGATGTCTGCTCGGAGATAGTTACGTGCTCGGGGAAAGCGAGCTCTATCCCAACCAAGATAGCTGGAAAGCCGGGACTTGCATCATTTTGTAGAGTAACGTCCGAACTATCTACGCATGCAAAAAAATTACCAAAATTGTATGTTAGTTTTCTAAGAAAGAGGCTGGTTTTCCAAAGATCCGCTGGAAACTCGATTTTTGAAATTTTTTCAAAGGTTGTTTCCGCTTGTGAAAAGTTCCGCTCAAGTCTTGGCTATCGAACAGCGAAAATCGCAGGTCTCTATCTCATTCCTATCAAAAGTTATTCCAAAAATGGCCACCGGCACTGTATCTTGGAATGGATAGTAGTTGCTCTGTGTAAATGGATTTACCAGGATAACTAACCCTTTGAGTACTTGCCACGATAGTTAGGAACTTCTAGTTTTGTGTGGTCATAGCTCTTACCTAATGCTGATCACCCACCAAGTTTGGACCTCTTTTACTAGACGGTTCGTGAGATGAACGCTTACAAAGTTCTGAAAACCGGATATTGATCTTGATATACTCTAGATTAGCCAATGCTTGTTCAGTTTTCGAGCAGTGATCCATATCCGGCGCCCTAAGCTGGAAGAAGTTAACGGTAAATGTATTTTGGACTTAGTAGTTTTTCATACATTTTGTTGCCGATGCCGTTTTTTACGGAGAACTTTGAGAACATAATAAATGGTTTATTTCTTTGTTGAGAAAAGAATTTTCGTTAGTGAGAAAAAGAAAACAAGAAAAGGAAGATTCGTTGGTCCGAATATGAAGAAATACAGAAGAAGCGATAAAGTTATGTATAAGCAGTTCAAAGAGTAGATCCAAGCAAAAATGCAATGCTCAGAGTCTACTAATAGGACCTTTTTAGAGCAGTAGGTTCAGTCAGAGACAGAGTCTGTCGACATCGCAACTTGTGCGCAGCGCAATTGCAATCTAGTTGATTGTGTATTTACATCGAGTTGCGAGCGGCAGAAACTAAAGACCTTTTCATAATGAATTCTGTATGGGAGAAGGATGGGTAGAAGCAAAGAAAACCAAAGATGAAAGAACTACAGAAAAATATAAGTTTTGTTGTTTGTTTCAAGTAATCTTTCCAACTAGCGGACAAACTGTCCCACTTCTTAACTGATCCATGAAACGCCAAGCATTGGCAACACTAGGCATATCTGATGATGAAGAAGATTGTGATAAGTTTCGTTGTAGAGTGATAAAGCTATATTGTTTAAAAGTTTCTTAATACCATAAGATAGAAGGACAGTTTATGGTTATCCACTTTTGAATACTCCAGCAGGTACTGTTTGTAGACTATTATATAATGTAGATTTAGCAAATCCTAGACGATTTTTTCCAATATCATATATGGAATAGAATCGTGTAAGAAAAGCATCGCCCAATATCCAAAATAATTTTTTTGAAGCATCTCTGTTATCGCCGGCTGTAAATACAGTGTAACAAAGATACTGTTTATTACCTACTGGAAGAATAATTAAATACTGTAATGGCGTTAAGATAAATGCTTTATTACCAATTGTGAATATCACATTTGGAAATGACGATAACAAACGTGATTCACAATCAACGAAATACTAAAAACAAAGCAAACACAAGAAGAGAGATGAGTGATGCTTAGAATACTGAATCATTGGAATTAATCTAATGTTTACATGCTACGAGCCATATTCACATTGTGATGAGGTCGGTATATCTAGCCCTCAAACAGCTTGAAATCGGGCCGTATAAATTGCGTGTAGGAGAGTACTAGCAGGTGTATACGGCTTATTCGTAATGCAACACAGAACACTAGTAAGAGACCCATGCATTTCCTGACCAAATTTTAGACACATGCTAACAGAGTCAATTTGAAATCAGGGGTATCTGAAGGTCGTTAGATTTGCTTAGGATCCTAAACAAAGCTAAGCGTTATTCTAGTAGAATTCTAACATCTAAGATCTGAATAAAAAGTTATTTAAAAGAATGTCAGGATCCTAGTAGGAAATAGACAGGAGATACATAGGATTTTGGATGCAGAAAGATTAAATCTATGTATAGGAAAACGGTATTTTAGATCAACAGTAGTAATTACTGGTTGAAAAAATGCAAGAAGTTCGTAGAATTATAGACCACTTTTCGTGTGGCGCCGTAAGTGCACTACGTTTTCTTCAAATTGATCGTACTATACTGTGACAACAAAAGCACATACAGAGTTCGTAGACGTCTCATTTTATGTAAGAACTATTAAAAACAAAACAAAAACGCACATTAACAGGAATAAAAACATATTTTAGCAATATTTACATCACGTATAGTGTAAGTTACAAGGGGAAAACAGCTGATTTTAAGATTAAAAAAAAAGATAAAATCATGAGCGATTTTTAGGGATTTTTAACGATTCTTAGCGATTTTCGATTTAAACCGATTTTTTAAGCTAAAAATTCAGCTGTTTCCCCCTTGGTAAGTTATGGTAGGGCACCGATGACCTACATTGCCCTGAATATGTCAAATGGCTTCCCTATTAAGTAAATCCTAATCGATCGTTGATAGATGTAAGAGCGTTGAAGATTTCTCGCCATCTTGCGCTTGAAAATGTCTCTCAGCACACCGTGTGAGCGTTCTCAGAAACACTGCGATCTTGGCCAAAAGTAAGCAAAGTTGAACGATAGTCGGACAGATAATCGACATTTTTTAAGCAAAACAATGTAAAAAATTTTTTAAAAGCGTTTTACCAAGCTCGACCTGATTACAAAGCACAACAAACTTGCAGTGCTTTCGTGTCTAAGTCGAAATAGAAAACGCTGTTCCCATCTTATGCAATTGGACCATTTTACGGCTCCAATATTTTGATATAAGTATTTGTGTGTTGTTTTACTTACTAAACGAGTATGCGATTCATATACAGCACCTAATAATTGTTGCAGTTGTTTGACTTGTGCCGCTGGTCCTTGTATTAATGTTGTCCCGGTATCAGAGATGGCATAGCATCCAGATGAACATATTTTTTTACTTCCAACACTAACACTATTCATGGAAAATTCCCAATAGCCTTTTATATTAACCGGTGTATAGGTTATTGAACCTTGATATTTCGATATATCAGTACCACCAAGTATTAATTCACCGCTTTGTGATGCTCTAAGCAAGATTGAAAGAGACCTTTCACCTACGGAAACTGAAACGAGGCTATGTGCCGGGAGTCAAAGTACTTTCTCAACGAATAGTTAAGAAATAAAAAATTGTGACTTGGGGAAAAATTCTCGCCGGAGCCTGTTCGGTGTGTGACATGTTCTTTTATGCATTACAGTGTAAGATTTCTCTTTCATTTGTCTGTCCGTCCCTGATACAAATTCGGACTCAATCGAACCGTTTCTTTCACATTTGTCTACAAGATGAAGAAAGACCGATGATACCCTTGAATCTCCTCCTCATCCTTTGGTTTATTCAGAAAAACATTATTGTTATGTGGGATTCGATGTCTCTATTGATGTTATCCTACGCACGAATATAATAAAATCTACATACTGCGTGGGTGTATTCGGATTGAAATAAAATGAAAAGATTGGTTGTTTTATTAACTTTTGCTTATACATATTAAAAAATAGCGGTGCGCTTCCAGTTTGCGCCAGACTTTGATAGGCTAAACCGAGAATACCATCATATAAATTTTCTTTCATGCCCGATGCTTCATTTATTCCAGCAAATATTTGACCTTTCACTGAAAGGCCAGCCACCTTAATCAATGGTACAAGAACAAATATGTTACAAGTTAAAGACAACAGCAATGCCTTACTGTGCATGTGTCATTGCTGAGTTTTCCTATGACAGATGAACCATCACCGTAGCTGATTGAAAATGATTGATTAATAGCTCGATATGTGCTGGATAAGGAAGGATCAAAGCGATTGGATCCACCTAAGAATAAGTCAAACACCTAGTATCATTTCTTTCTGCGAGTATTTCTTGAACAGGCTAAAACATCCACTTTTTCTGGTTGCTTGATACAAAGGATGGGGCTAATTTCAAGCGAAATCGGCACCCGGTATTTCTAGGTTACCTTTAATCGGAGCTTGTAGAGAAGATTTTTCTATACGTTTCTCGATATAGACGAGCCGAAAATTTTTTATGATCAACTGATATCCGCAGTCGAAGACTGTACGACTCTTTCAATCCCCTTTCCCTACAAACAAAAGAGGATACAACTCGTATTCGATATAGAAAAATCAAAGTATCGGCCAAAAATTTGTGTGAGTTTGTTTTTGGCTGTTTTCTCTTTGACCGTTATATCTAGAATAGCTGAAAGACCTCCAATTAGCTGAGGTGTATATGAGAATTCCATTAAAACTCCTGCAAAACCACATTCCTGGAAAGCCAAGATTTTAGAAAATCCGAAGAGTTCAAGTCCGAGGATTCCAACGGAAACCAGTTCCAAATATCTTAACCATTGGATAGCGCAATACATAGCGCAAACATTTTGCAACAAAACTCAAAAGAGAAAATAGCGAAGAACAAAATCAGATAAACCTTTGGTCGGCATTTTAATTTGTCTATACCAAACATGGATATCGCTTTCAAGATACAAATTCGTTTGACCTTTCGTGAAATTCAAATTTTAACTTTTTGGGCCGTTTGCATCCTTTTTCACGATGGAGTTTTCTAGTATTCCGAGAAGAACAATATATTTTACTTTCACGGAAATGATAGCTAAACAATGTATCTTTATAATTCACTACTGAAACTCGAAAACCAGCATATGCATTTTTTCGTTCAGTGCTTACTGAGATTTTCAAAATTTCAGATCAGACTTCTTTTCTGACGAGGGAACCTATCCAACTGTCGGACGCCGTTTGACTCCATATTTTAGCTATAAGTAGGACTCAGTGAGACTAAGAAAATCCTAAAAGGGTTCGGGCCTATGACTCTTGAAGACCCCGTTTTCTGGAAAATCAGTTTTTCAAGAACTCTAAAAGATAACTAAACCCTTCTTTTAATGAGATATAATTGTAGCCCGCAAATTTCTGATTAAAATGAGACGTCTTCCAGCTCTACACGACCTTTCTTTGCAAAGTTATAG